CAAACTGCAGTAGAAAGCACAACGTTATCGCTGAAGTAGCTATTGGCCAAGTCAGGGGTTAATGCTGACTAAAGATGCATCATGGGATACGAGGAACTGGGAGAAAAAATCGTCTCACCAGCAGTATGTGACTAGTGTAGCAGGTACCCGACTTGTAGTTTGTTGCTGTGAAGAGCTAGGATGTTGTTATAGAGAGACTATCATGCTAGACTCCCCAACAAGCAGTTAAACTGGCTCAGTTAAACCTGCTCATTTAAACTGGGTCATTTAAACCGGCTCAGTTAAACCGGCTCAGTTAAACTGGCTCATTTAAACCGGCTCAGTTAAACCGGCTCAGTTAAACCGGCTCACTTTATGTCTTTAATGCGTGTGTATTGAGTAATAAACACGTACTGAATTCCAGGTTATCACTCAGAACACTGAACCAGACTTTAGTTGGGTCTAAATGCTTTTCTCAAACGTTTCTTTTTTGTTCTCTCGCCCCTCTTCTCTTGTTCACCCGTTTCCTCTTTTGCTCTTTTTCTTTCCTGTCTCTTTCGTCCACTAGACCTATGAGGAGAGCTACGCAGAGCCTGCGTACGAGTCATACGACAGCTACTACAGCCAATCACAGCCGTGAGTCATTCGTCTCGTCAGCCATTGGCTCTCATCAGACACACAAATGCACAAGCTGTCTGGTCTTATTGCCTGTCAGGGTGGGCCAGACTATCTCCTAGTTAAATCCTGGATTTTCATATTGTGAGGGATTTTGTGACTGATTCCACACATGATATCGGCTGTTTTAGCTAACTGTGCCTGGGTTATTCACATGGCTTTTTTATTCTTCTACAGAGAGCCAGAATACTACGACTACGGGCATGGAGAGACACAGGAAGCATATGAGACTTACGGTAAGATCCTCCCCTTGTTCAAGGTCTTTTTTCATACGAGTACCTCTTTACGGAGTGAGAAATGTGTTTCCCGTCTCCATTATTTGTACGTTGCACAAATAAAACGCTGACGCCAACATGTGTTCGTGACAACTTGTTTGGCTTGTATTTGTGATTACATTTCCGTTGTGCTTTTGGTTCTCGTCTCTGTTGTCTGTCTTTCTGTCCGGCCCCCTTTAGCTCAGGACGATTGGAACGGGAACCAGAGGGCCGCCTCAGGAGGAAAGGCACCCGCTGCCAGGGCGACTAAGGGCCCTTACAGGGAACACCCCTATAGACAATATTGACATCTCCATGACAACGCCTGCCTAGTGACCGACACAACCACCCCTCACGGGCTGCCGCGGCGACCACCAGCCAGTCGACAACAGCCGTTCTCGCTTTAAGCAACCCTCGACAAAAGTAATTGTCCATTGTTTTTCTCGTTGTGGTGTTTTCTACTCCGCTGGACTTTTGAGAACCGAGAATATGGATCTCGACTTATCGAAGCTTGTTTGAGATTTCATTCAGACTGACCCGAAAAGGTTGTCTTTTTTTACGATGGGCTAGAGATGAGAACTTGTTTTTACATTTTTGTTTATTTTGCTGTTCTTTTTTCCGACCTTTTTTCTCCCTTGGCTTGTTTTGCGTTGTTGACAGTAAACCTTTTTTGATGTTTGGATTTAAAGTCACTTCAGTGGATTCAAATGCTTTTTATCCACAAATTTTAATGATTTTTATTTATTTAAAAACTAACTGTTGAGGGACAGTTGCAGATTCCTATTTAGGCTACATTTCAAAATTCTGTTTAATATAGCAAAATAAAATGAAACTTAGACGCTGTTTCAATCATGTAATATAGAACAAACAGAAATGTTAAATTAAGTCTGAGACAGTTAATCATTTTTAATGGAATTTGCAGCACCAAACAATTCATGTTTTGATTCTATAATTCCCATTTGTTTTAAATAGTCTTTAATTAAAAGTTGTCAATTTAGACTTTAGGCAGCAGCGATACATAATGATATTTTGTCATTGTACATTAGAGTTTTGAAATATAGCCGTAAATCGCCACTGTTGAGATGGACTGTCCTCATATCCTTAATTTGTTTAAAGTTGTAAAAACAATTTAAGCTATCTTCATTATGGCTCAACAGTCAAAATGTCTTCAAATGGTGGGCAGGGTTTGTCATGATAAAAGAGATTTCACGTGTCAGCAAAGGATCTTTACTGGTTCATCTGAGTCTATAAACTGCATGTAAAAAGACGCAATGAAAGATCTGGACAAAAATCTCCACATGGGTCATCTCTTTCTCCGGAGAAGGGATCCTGTCTCTTATTAACCTGAACTCTTGTACATACTTTAAAAAACATCCAAACTGTGCGTATTCACTCTTCTGTACTCGCTCCATTAAAATGCATTATACTCCATGTGTAAGGTTTACCTAAATAGGTTACCACTAAATCTGTCGAAAAAAAGATGTTTTGCAGCAGTTTGTCAATAAAGACTAGTTTGTTTTTCTATGAAACTCCGTAACTTGGTCCATTTTTTCCCCTGTCCTAGTAAAACTTGAAATGCCCATTTTTAAATAACATCTAACAGTCTAGCTAGCAGTTCTAGGTGTTTTTGCTTTTCACTTGTCTTCAAATACGTTTTTTTAAATTTAAATGAAATGTATTGTAGTAAGTAGCCTGACGACAAAGTTAACCGTTACCAAATGATGTCTTGGTTGATTATTTAAAAAAGCAGCACGACTTATTCTCTCTCTCTCTTTCTATACTTTTAAAAAGGAACCAGAGGTAAGACCTCTTAAATAACCTGGATAGCCTTCCTATTGTGTATAGCGCTCTATGGCATTGAATGCCTGGGTATGTATCACACTTTTTCAATCCATCTTACCTGTGGTCTTAGTCGGCAATGAGAAATGCTTTGCTAGAAACTCTCTAGTTGGTAAATAACCTGAAGTCAAACCGTTCAAGTCTTAGATCTCCGGGTTTTAACCCAACGATGATGTCGTGTGTTTGAGGCCGACAGGAGGGCTAGTAAAGATTGTAATGGCAGTTCAATGGGGGAGCTGGTTTTAACTGTAATCACTCCACTTTAATGGCAACCCTAACCCTAAATGTGTCATTTGGCAGTGTGTTTACACATTTAATAAATCTGCTGGTAAATACGTGCAATTTAGTTAAACACGAATTATGGTAATGTAAAAAAAAAAGTATTAAAATGTAATGAAAAAACATAACTTTCAATATTATACCCCAGTTCGAGATTTCATTTACAAAAATAACAGTTCTGTATACTAACAAAATATCTTACATTAGAAAAGTATTAACGCACCTCTTGCTAAAATTAAAATCTGCAAAGCCGAATCTATATATATATATATATATATCAATATCAAGTTAAGCTGCTGCTACCTTTTTCTTTGCAATACTGGTGTAAATGTTTTTATATAATGATAATATCAATCGTCAACGTGTTTTACCTGTAGAAAGTCATGTACAAAAGCTTGATTTGCATGCCGACAACTCCATAGACGTTGCATGAGCTTGACTGAAGTTTTTCCACCTGTTGCTGATTTGCAGTGTCTTCCCACAGGTCCAGGGCCAGCTACTGGTCAGTGAGGCTGTCTTACTGGGAGACCGAGTGGGCTTGTACTGCAGGGACGAGACCGTGTTTATCTCTGGTACGTTTTGGTTTCCATGAAGGTGTTACTTTGGTATTGTGGACTGTCACCTGGACCTGTGTGGACCTAAGAGAAGTGTCACTCTAGAATCAGATGTTAGGTCATAAATGTGAACAAATAAACATGTAGAATATGACACTTATACTAGGAGAAACTTTGCTTTCGCCTTGCTGTCATCTAGGCTGCCACGGAATTGGCACATTCCAGGAGTGTGCTTTGTTGATTAATCAATTAGTTTTCCCACTTCTTCAAGAAATCCATACTGGCTGGAAGTCTTGTTTGCTAAAGGGGTTTTGGCAATTATGTTTGTATAGATCAAATCAAACCAGTCAAATCCCTTTCTGGGCAGAGCTCCAATGGCGCTTACAGGATTAGTTCAGTAAGGGCGCCAATGTGTGACGTGTGGCAGAGAAAGAGACGGCAGAAAACACACATCGAAATATGGTAATGCCCATTTCTATGTGTGGAGCATACTTCTGTCCAAATCGACTTCTGTTTCCCGGTGTTTCTCCGGTCATTTGTGATGTTCTCCGACCCCAGAGCCAACTGGGTTCTTGCAGTCCACTCAGAAACCCCACAGAGTGTCAAGCATGGGTGAGCTGTGCTGTCACAGGGTGTGTAGGGGAGAGCACTTCTGTGTATCGGGTTGATTAGGAGCACAGCTGTTTCGGGTTTATCGATTGTTTCTATGTGGTTTGTTAAGTCGATGTAGGTGAGTGCGGTTTATATGTGTCGGTCTCTGGAATTTAGAAAGAAACCTAGAGAGGAACCAGGCTCTGAGGGGTGGCCAGTCCTCTTCTGGCTGTGCTGGGTGAACTAATAATAGTTTAATAATTATCAAATACATTTTGCGTATAAAATAGTCCAGGTCAAATACACGACCATGACCAACTACATAGTTCTTGACCGGAGCAACGATGAGCTGACCGTTTTCAGATCCGTTGGAGCACAGCTAATTCAGCTAACCTAGATCGTTTGATGGGATTGAACGCTGTTGATTAACATCAGTGTAGAACGTGGTTGAATGAATGCTAATATGTTGCCTGTTTCCCCTGTTCCTCTGTAGCGGGGTGCTCTACAGGAAGCCGCGGCTTCTCCCTGGGGTGTCCATGCTGAAGATCAACCCAGTGCACAGCACCCGCCCTGGGGGAGGGATCCCACGAAGAACCTGCGTAAACCTTGGAGAGCCTGGGAGCAGGCGGATGGCGGAGAGAGAACCAAGTTGATTCTGTTGACAGGCTAGCCAAGCCATGAGCTATGGTGCTATGAGATCTGGACGAGTAGAGGGCAACGGAATTGACTCGCTTAAGTGACATGTTACACCTTGTGATACTACAGTCAAGTAATTTAGACAAAACTTGGATCCAGAGTAAAGTGGGAAGTGTATGCGGTTTTATATTGACCCCCCCAGGGAATCAAACCCACAACCATGGCATTTCAAATGCTATGCTTTGCCGACTAAGCTACATTGAGCAAATGGTTTTGATTGCGACCGCTCCTTGTAAAAGGGACTTGGTGAATCTATGAAACATAGATTTGACCACCCAAGCTGCAACCAGCTGTGAAATTGGTTTCAATTTCCTTTCAATTACTTGTCGTTTCTTTGGGTTGAGCACATTTCTACTTGCTGCCAGTCGAGCTGTAATCACTTCTCACAGACACCCAAGTCTACAGAAGGTTCATCTCACACCTTAAACAGACCCAGCCCGTCTCCATGTCTGTTTCTTTGTCTCCACGTGTAATTACCGCAGTGAATTTGGCTCTGCACTTCAGAACCCAAGAGCCCGAGAGAAAAATGATTCTGTGACACGCACATACATGTATGCAAGCACATACATGTGCACATTAAGCACCCCTGCAGGGCGTGAGATGCCAATGCGAAACACATTTGCATGTACTTTCCAACTTTAATGTGCCACACTTTTGTGACGAATGTTGGCTTTCTCACCTCACTTCATCGTCCAAGTATGCTAATCCAAGTATGCTAATCCAAGTATGCTAATCCAAGTATGCTAATCCAAGTGTGCTAATCCAAGTATGCTAATCCAAATATGGTAATCCAAGTGTGCTAATCAAAGTTTGGTAATCAAAGTTTAATAATACAAATGTGTGGGTGTGTGTGTGTGTTTGTTTGTGGAGCCAGTGCAGTCACACTGCATTAGCGAATTAAACCAAAGAACCATTCAGTCACTCTGTCCCATCACTATGTCTCAATCACCATTGGCCATTGCTGTGTCCTAAATGGTACAGTAATCTAGTTTTTCAGTGTTTCAGTATTTTGTTAGGGCGCCAGATAGAGAATAGTTTGAGTTGGGATTGAGGATTTAATTCCACAAAAATGGAAACATAACGTAGAATTAAAACGTCTGGTAATATTGATAGCATACTGGGAATGCTGTTTTTTTCCTGTCTACGAGGTTGTCCAGTTTATTTCATTTGGACATTTTAACCGGGTTGAATTGGCACAAGTGAATCATGGTTCTGATGTAAAGCGAAAATGCAAAAGTGAATGGCACGACTTACCTCGTAAACCCTGCTGACAGACTATGAATTAACGTGTCAGGTTTTATGTTTCCGCGTCCTTGTAAAGACTATCTTCAACCAAACTATATTCAATAAAGTTACAGTTTTAAATGGGAGATACAGATGTGCCTCTGTCATTATGTTTGCCTCTCCTCACTCTGTGCCCCACACCTCAGAAAGTGGCGCCATGTGGGTGTGTTTATTAGGGGTAGAAGACAGGTGTGAATGGTTAGAAATCTGGGGAATTAGCCCCGCCCCTTCAGATGGGGGTGGAGGTGTTAACGTGTGTGTGTGTGTGTGTCTTAACGTGTGTGTGTGTGCTGACGTGTGGCAGGCAGCTGGCAGCGTGGGCGGGCAAAAGGAAGGTGTCATTTTATTCCTAACACGTTTACAGCCTGGTGTCTCGCTGGGGATAATGACGACGTTCAAAGTCCTTTTTTTCTTGGACCACACGCAAGTTAGAACACATAAGAACTGACTCTGGGCCTGTTTTCATCCACGACTGCAAACTTTAATCATCGGAACTAATGCCTGACCACCTGTGACCTCATAACCTGAGACCTCATCCCCTGTGACCTCATCCCCTTTGACCTCATCCCCTGTGATCTCATCACCTGTGACCTCATTTCCTGTGACCCCAACACCAATGACCAGACAGTACAACTTTTAACCAAACTGATGCTATATTCTTTTGGGTTTTTATCTTGTTTTCTGTGTGCGTGTGAAAGATATATATTTACGTTTTACAATTTGTCTCCGAATGCTGGAACAAGAAAAACAGAGCCTCGCCAAGCAAAAACCATCAATCACAAGCTCCCCACTATATATTATGTGCTTATCGCTCCACTTTCGTAGTGTTGTGAGAAAAAGCCTTCAAGCCATTGTCATTTTTTTATTAGGTGAACAAAACGCTGGTTATATGGGGTAATCTCTAAACACTATCGTTTAAACTGTCGAGGCCACATTACACAACCTTCTTTTGTCTATACTTAAACGGCTTAAAGGGATATTTCTGAGATTTCGGTGACTAATCCTTTTATCTACTTCCCCAGATCCAAACGATCTGGCGAAGTGTTATGTCTGTGTTTCCAGCATGCAGGAATACAGATGTCATTTTGAAAGCCAATGCACCAATAAAACACGGAGTCATCTATTTACTGTGTAAAGACTGTTACTACCTCAGGCTTTTTTTTGTTAAGTCAAATTTTCTCTAGATCCGTGCATTAGGTATTAGACAATAGAGCCAGACAAACCGTTGCCTGAGGGGAACATGGAGGAGAAGGAGGTGGAATGGTGTACACTTTAGAAAACATTTGGCGGCAAATATAATTATATTATCTAATAAACACACAAAACACGGAAAATATAAAAAAATGGAATATATGCAAAATATATGAATATATATTGTACGAATATCAGAGGACAGCGATTTTAGAGAGGCTGTGATTGGAAAAAAATTCCATATTATTTTTGTGGAATGGAGAGCTTCTTGAACGACTGGAACTGAGCAATTTGAGCAAATGAATATGGTTCATAAATCATAAATGTTAGCACGGTTTTGGGAACTCAACACTGTTCACAAGGTCAGAGGCTGAATGCTTTTATTCATTTTAGTCACTTCTCTCTATATAGTTATTATCTGTTATTGATCAGAAAGCAAATCATGGTTTCTTATTATAATGGTGTTTAACACGCCGTTGTTATAGTGGTGGTTTTATAGGCTGTGCCAGGCCGGTGATCATTTGTTACGTTCGTTTTTTCATATGACCATTTGTTTTGTTGTGTGACACAGAGACTACAGCTAACTGTTTTCAGAAAGGGCACAGCCGGAGATTTAGGTTCGAAATATTGTTAGTGAATGAAAATGTGTGTTCAATTCCCCATCTGTCCTGACAAGCGTCAGTCCACGACCTTGAGAAACATCCCGGCGACATAATTCTGCCACCCACGCACTTCGCTGTACCGATGTGGTTCTTTGGGAAGTGAGATGTGTCGAAAACGTGTTTCACGAGGTCCAACAACCCTAATGGTTTCTGGATTCTCTTTGTTCTAGACAACCTGTGATGATGCGAGTTGCTCTGCTGAACTCTGTAGTCTGATAGGTATCTCGTGATATTATAACATCTGCCCAGCTTGGTTATGGGATCTTTATTCGACGGATACCGGACGGCACGGAGAACACGTCATTCCTTCCTCTGTTCCTCGGATCCTGCTTCACCTCGAACCTTCATCTCCAGGAACTCCATGTGCTCTCAGTGATACACACAAGACGTTCTCATGTTCAGCGATCTGGCTTCTGAATAAAGGCAGAGGAGAATGGAAAGAAAGGGATGAAGTAAACGAGGAAGGAGAAATACTTTTGCTCCACCACTGGACCCTCCAGGCTCTTCTCTCAGCTTTTTTTATTTCTCCGTCTCTCTCTCATCCTCTCGTCCTCTCTTTTCCTTTTTCACTTGGTGTCCCAGCCCTTGGCTCTCTGTCTTCACTGTTTTTCCATTATCTTCCCTCTCTTTTCTCCTCCACTCTGAGCTCAGCCCCGGGCATGTTCTCTCATTTATGACTGGAGCTGAAAGGAGCTGTGACAGGATGTGTGTGTTTGTGTGTGTTATGTTGTGTGTGTTATGTTGTGTGTGTGTGTGTGTGTGTGTGTGTAGAGCTTGGAGTGGGGAAGAGCAATACACACACGCACTCACATAAGCTTGTTTACACTGGATAGATGCTCATTTAAAAGTCCAGGTGTGGAAAACGACATTGCAACATCTACAGTGTTTAAATCAACTTCGTTAATTTCTTTGTCAGCTGGTCATCTTGTGGGTGACTCGCACATCCTCACCTTTGACTCTCACATCTTCATTTCTGACTCTCACATTCTCACATCTCCTCTGTCTCTCACATCCTCATCTCTTCTCTGACTCTCACATTCTCACATCTCCTCTGACTCTCACATTCTCACATCTCCTCTGTCTCTCACATCCTCATCTCTTCTCTGACTCTCACATTCTCACATCTCCTCTGTCTCTCACATCCTCATCTCTTCTCTGACTCTCACATTCTCACATCTCCTCTGTCTCTCACATCCTCATCTCTCCTCTGTCTCTCACATCCTCATCTCTTCTCTGACTCTCACATTCTCACATCTCCTCTGTCTCTCACATCCTCATCTCTTCTCTGACTCTCACATTCTCACATCTCCTCTGTCTCTCACATCCTCATCTCTTCTCTGACTCTCACATTCTCACATCTCCTCTGTCTCTCACATCCTCATCTCTTCTCTGACTCTCACATTCTCACATCTCCTCTGACTCTCACATCCTCATCTCTTCTCTGACTCTCACATTCTCACATCTCCTCTGTCTCTCACATCCTCATCTCTTCTCTGACTCTCACATTCTCACATCTCCTCTGACTCTCACATCCTCCCCACCTCGTTCTCTCCACTCTGTCATTCCTCTTCATTCAATCTCTTTTTCCTTTTCTTCTTTCTGCATTCTCACTTATCACAACTCCCCACCTCAACTCCCTGAGGAGTCTGACAGAATGGATCATTTTCGCTCAACCTCTTACAGTCGAAAATGTGACAAAGCAAACAGCTGCTTTGAGGCTGTGCTGTGAGTGTTTAAATGGGAAATATATACGCTTTATAAAGTTGACTAATTCATTCTGAGCCCATTGCCACTTCCTGTAATGCACATGACTTACAGTCAGCATTCTGTGATTTAACAGCCAGTATTAAATGTCTGTGAGTGTGGAATACTATGGTGAAATTTAGATGGATCACACATATTGACAATCTGCCTGTGACACAGCGATTTTAGGTGGCCGGCTACCATGTAGCTCAGTTGGTAACGCAGGATGGTGCCCCGGTGTAACTCACGAGTAGTGAGATATGTTTCCACACGGGACTGTAAGTGGGGTGCACGCCTTTAGTTTTCCGGTGTGCCTGATTTGAT